TGGTGGCTGAGAAGCACCGATTCAGAGCAAACCATCAACTCCCAAACGAGAATTCCGAGGTGGAGTGATTTGTCACAGGCAGTACAATCCTTCAGCTACAGAGCTGGGTCTAGAACCTGAGTCTTTTCACCCCTGACCTGGTGATGGGGTCATGAGAGAGGGACAGCACACTAACAGTTCGATGAAGGAGAGCTCACCTGCAGCTGAAAAATGTAAGGGATGTTGTAGGAGGGAATGTTAGGAGGGTTTGTATCTGTACCGAACTCGAAGAGTGGAAGGAATCTAGACAAAGAGGAACGGAGAGGTCATTCCTGGAAAGACAACAGCACGAGCAAAAGCAGGGCGGCTACAAAGCGCAAACCATGGTAAAACTCAAACCAGACGGCTGAACTCTTGTGGATGCATGACGAAGACGAGCGGAAAGTGAGCCTAGAAATGTAGCTGGTAACTAGCTGCGGAGGACCTTAATAGGAAGACTTGGGATCTCGGGCTTTACTCCCTTAGGCGCTGGGGAGTCATAGACAATTAGTGACAGAGAAAGGATGCAATCAGAGCTGTGCTCTAGGAAGATCCATCCCTCAGCGAATATACGTGATGGCTCATGAGACATTAAGCGTGCAGTCCAGGTGACTCAGCTGGAAGCTGTCACCACAGCCTAAGCTGGAGGGAGGGCAGGTCCAGAACGAGGGCACAAGCAATGAGAGTAGAAAGTAGAAGATATTCCACTACTAGAAGCAACACAGCATAATGGCAGATCGGACGTGTGGAGAGTCAGGTGTCCAGCTGGTCTGGCTGACGAGATAGAAGCCAAGAGGAGATAGACCTTAACAAAGGAGAGGGCTAGGAGGAGTGACAATGAACAGTATCGCTTGGAATATTTTGCTGACCAGCAACAAAACACCAAGTTCCCGCCTTTCAAGTGTGGACTTGCTACAACTCTGTTGGTCTAGACCGTTGTGGAGGTTACTAAATAGTTGACAGACATGAACATTCTAATAATTTTTAATACTTGTGTGTGTTGACTGCCTCTGCTTGAAAACAAGAAATTGTTTCCAACCCTCATTAAAAATCATGCAGAAAATGGGGCGCCTGGGTGGCGCAGTCGGTTAAGCGTCCGACTTCAGCCGGGTCATGATCTCGCGGTCCGGGAGTTCGAGCCCCGCGTCAGGCTCTGGGCTGATGGCTCAGAGCCTGGAGCCTGTTTCCGATTCTGTGTCTCCCTCTCTCTCTGCCCCTCCCCCGTTCATGCTCTGTCTCTCTCTGTCCCAAAAATAAATAAACGTTGAAAAAAAAATTAAAAAAAAAAATCATGCAGAAAAAAAAAGAGGAAGAAATTACGATTTCAGAGCTAACAGAGAACTTAGAAAACACAGGCCAATTGCTCGTTTTCCTGAAGAAGAAGTCAAAGCCCAGAAAGAGAATACCTTGCTCAGAGTGACACAAATAGCTAGTGGGACACTTAGGACAAAAACCCAAGTCTCTAAATGCCTAGCCCACTGCTGTCCTTCCCTATCCAGGAAAGGACACTGCCTGAATCTGACTGACTGAATAACATTTCACTTCAATTCCATTCCTTCCATTGTCCTTCCTTCATTGAGTTCCTGAGAACAGTGAGGACCCCCCACCCACCACCTGCCCACTGACTTTTCCTCTCTCCTCTCTCACAGGCCTCTTAACCATTCCCTTAAAAAGAAATACATGAGGTAAATACTTTTGCCATAAAATATTAATCGCTCCCATTCAAGAAAGTTGAGGGAGATAAAAACAGTAGTAGGTGATATAGCTCACAAAAGAGAATAGTTTATACTACCCGGCATCTTCATGACAAGTCTGAAAATTATTGCTAGGTAACAGGATGCAGACCCCAAGATGCCTGGGGGAGAGACCTGAGGTTAGTTTGCTTTATTAGGAGACACTGTGTTATATGAAATCATATCTACACAGCCAAAGGGAATGTTAAATAATCGTGCCTGTTGATGTGAGACTTGTTAAACAGGCAAAAGCTGTTATCTTGATTTCAAACTGCACAGAATTGAGTATGTGTGACTCATCTATTTTGAATGTCAGCACATCATGAATTCACCAACGTGACTTGAGAACAGAAAGATCAAAGTAGTTGCCTATTGGTTATAATCCCTTCAAGAGCCAATGCACGTCCTCCAACTCCCAACGATTTACTTTTTCCTTAACGAGCAATCTATTCTGTAAAATTGCCTCTACTCGCCACTCCCCTTCATGCCTGTGCAGACCCAGCTGTTTACCAATTCAGGCTGACTGCTATGAATCAGATGCCAGGTTTGCGTCAGCGACTTGACGCGTGTTCCCTCATCGAGTCCTCGTCACTAACTCGATGAGGCCAGGACATTTTCAGACCAGGAAACACGAGTGAAAGGGGTTAAGAACCTTGTTCAAGGTCATACAGTTTGTCAGTGGAAAGGTCAGAAATCAAGCCAGGTATGTCTGCCACTGAATGCCATGAAGTTAATCATGGCGTCCTGCCCCCAGCAAACCACCACTGCCCCCCCACCCCGGTCCAGAAAAAGACAAAATATTTATACAAGTAGAATGTACTCAGACACGGGAACGCTGTCTATGAAAGAAGGTAGAAAAGTGCAAGGGATTTCAGGTTTCCCTGTTAGCTCTTCTTTTATTGTCACAGTGAGTTGTGGCTTTCTAATTTCAGCTTGGGTCACAGTACTGACCCTATTAGCCTCTACAACCGATCTCGGCGAGGCAGTAGAATGTTCATTCGCCAGTGTCCTAGTTTGCTGCACACACTAAATTCTGAAGTTGTAGTATTTGTTGCCACAATCTCTACCTTCATAAGAAACTAATGATTAAGATGGTGGGTGAGTGTTTTGGAAAAAAGTCCAAAACACTCCCCCTCTCCTGAACCACAGTTAATCCCAAGGTCCCAGTTGCTGCAACGGGCATGTCTATATTGATGCTCTATCTTGTTTCAGAGTTTGAAAAAAATTTTCTGATTATGAAAGTTTCCTGTAAGGACCCTCGATGGCCTTTTACTATCTAAGGAGTTTGAGAGGGTTCAATAGTTTTTAAGTAGCACCCAAAGCAAACTAAAACTCTTCCTCTACTTTAGATCAAATGTGGCATCCACCAGGAAAATCTGAAGTTGGGAATGCTTTACAGCTGCTGAGAAAGCCCAGCAAGCAGACAGTACTTGTCTACCAGACTAAGGGGTTGTTGTATATCAAATGCCTCTGGAGGCAAAGAACATCTAAAAAGTCTTATTCAAATGCGCTATGAAAGATTAAAATAGGGGCGCCTGGGTGGCGCAGTCGGTTAGGCGTCCGACTTCAGCCGGGTCACGATCTCGTGGTCCATGAGTTCGAGCCCCGCGTCAGGCTCTGGGCTGATGGCTCGGAGCCTGGAGACTGTTTCCGATTCTGTGTCTCCCTCTCTCTCTGCCCCTCCCCCGTTCATGCTCTGTCTCTCTCTGTCCCAAAAATAAGAAAAAAAAAAAAAAAAAACAACAAAAAAAAGAAAGATTAAAATATTCTTTCTCTATGAACCAAAGATTATATCACTTTCACTTGCCTGACACACAGTAAGCACTCAATAATATTTAGTAAATGATTATTTTTCCTCTATTTCTTTCTTAAAGCACTAAGCATAGTATCCAAGTACAAAAGGTATTGAGTGTTGTGGTAGAAAGTTCATTTTGCTCCAAGCAGGCCCAAAATAAAAATATGCAGGCATATTAAAATAAACAAGTGAAAACTCTTATTTTCAGAAAGGGAGTCACTGCAGGATCCTATTGAGGAGACAAATTGTCAAAAGATGAAATACACTCTAATTTACAAAAACAAAATTCACATGCAACTGTCGGGAATTGCATAAAGTGAGATCACTTGTAGATCCATCTAGCCACCCTCCTCAAAACAAGAACATTGTCTAGAATGCCCACAACGATTGCAGACTCACCGTCTCTCCCCCTCTCCCTATGCCCCATCCCCACATACTTCCCCCATTAGTCTGGCCAATTTTTTTTTTTAATTTTTTTTTCAACGTTTATTTATTTTTTGGGACAGAGAGAGACAGAGCATGAATGGGGGAGGGGCAGAGAGAGAGGGAGACACAGAATCAGAAACAGGCTCCAGGCTCTGAGCCATCAGCCCAGAGCCTGACGCGGGGCTCGAACTCACGGACCGTGAGATCGTGACCTGGCTGAAGTCGGACGCTTAACCGACTGCGCCACCCAGGCACCCCTAGTCTGGCCAATTTTTATGCACGTCTCAACATCAGAGAAAGCATCGACTCCTCCGGGAAAACATCCCTCATTCCCCAAACCCAGAAGCACCCTCTCCACGTCTCTGTCATTCAATTCCACTGTTTTATCCTTGTGTATTTACGTGTCTTTCACTCAACTCAAACTTTTCTTTCCTCGTGGAGAAATAAGTCTTCACCTGCTCGATCTCCCTACTAAACGTGCATGCAATATTGTAAGTTCTAGAATATTTATGGAATGAAGAAACACATTGCTGACATCAAAACACAGATGTTAGGGTGTGGCTGGTGATCACACAGAGGTAAATTTAGTCTGATAGTGTAAATGAAAGCAGTTGGGTCTTCAGTGGAGCTGGAGAGGCTTGATGACTTTGATGTAGCCGATGCAGGGATACATAGAAAGTTGCAGAGAAGAGGGAAGGAATGAATCAAACCTTGGTACTTGCAAATGATGAAGAACATTTGCGAGAATGCAGGGGAGATCATGAACACAGGTCCAAGTACAGGTTGAAAATGACTGAGGAGATTCGGTCCTCCTGGTCAAAGATTTTGTCTTTGATCTAAATCTAGACTATACCAGCTGCTACCAGGCATCACGGCTTGTCATCACCAGCATGGTGTTTGCAGAGCAAGCCTGGCATCGCTCATTCCGGCTCTTCAGTATCACGTAGAAGGACTATTTCTTACCAAGAGCATGAATAAGCTCCTTTAAAAGCTGATGCAGCAAGAGACTCTCAAAGGCAGCCTCTTACCTGCTGGTTCTGGTAGGCTGTGACTGTGGTGAACACGGTCTCAGGAAAGTTGAATGTTTTCACTCCATCCCCAACAGGGACAGGTTTGGTGGGCGACAGGTCACTGCTGAAATCCTTGCGGATCACGTGAACTCGAGGCTGGTATTTGTGCATAGAGTGCAGAATGATCTGAAATGAGAAGGGGCAGCATTATGCTAGACTCAAAGAGCGTTTCGAACTCTCAGGCAAATACAATCGCAGGACAGAAGCATCACAGGAAAAACAGAGACTGGGACTGGGATGTACAGGAAACCGGAAGTCAGTGTTCTTGCCCACGGCAGGAAGGACTAAGTGATTGGATGGCACTGCACGGAACCATACAGCAGAGTACCCCAGTCACAGGTGGTGATGTAGTACGCTTGCTTTAACCGGCCATACTGAACAACTGTCCCAATCCCAGAAGACAACACTCTGCTAAAAGATCTCAGACCCTCTGCTATGTGACAGCTGCTCCTTCCTGCTTCAAATGTTCATCATGGGCTCGTGTTGTCTTTAAATTCTATCAGCTATTATTTGTACCTTGTTACTAAATTTATGGACATTCCTTATGTCCTGTGAGAGTGAATGGTATTCCTCAGAATATCATCATTTCCGTAAAGATGGGAGCCATGGTTTTCCTTCTTTGATCTTCCTGCAGCACTCAGTATGGATCTTGGCATCCAGTGAAAGTTATAAAGATAAATTAATAACATCAAGTGCTCTAATTATACCTGGAAAGTCTTAAGACTTATTCTTCTCTTAAAAATGCATAAATTACTTGGCAAATCCACCCAAACTGTCACCTTAATTGTTTCTCTGAGTTTATTTCCCTGTGAGTTATTCCACTGAATGGTGTGATTTCTTTCACCATTTTAAAACATGTCCTGTGCTTCTGTCTTTAACCTCTCCCTTGATTAGACTGTGGGTCCCTGGAGCATGAGAACGGGGTCTGGTAAACACAACCTGATGCACAGCAGACATTTGCTAAATGTTAGATTTGTAATAAATGAAATTTCGCAGGAGGAAAAAAGAACTTTTAGGATTACTCACTTAAAATGACTCAAAGTGGCATAGAGATTCTTATTTTACACATTTGGAAAAGCCTGGGGCTAGTCAGCTTTAGAGCCAAAAGGGAGGAAGAGGGAGATGGATGGGATTCTTTGACTCACATGTCCTTGATCATCCAATTCATTGTTGGTCAGCTTGAGTTTGTCGAAACTGACCACCTGTCTCATCCAAGTGTCTCCAGAAGCTAGAGAATCAGGGTGTATATAAACTCTTGGGGGCACAGGGGAGTCCGCATTGCCAGCCACCATCCACTTGGAGCTGTGGTACACATATCTGAGGCAGAGAGGGAGAGAGGAGAAATCAGAGACAGATACAGAGGGAAGAGAAGCCCAGGATGCCAGTAGAGACAGGAGAGGGGAGGGACAGAGAGATGACAAGATGGAAAGAGTAGGGATTAAAGAGAGAATACAAGGAGAAAAAGAGAAGGGCAGATAAGCAGGGACAATCAGACAGAGACGAAAATGGAGAATGAGGTGGGGTGGGGGAGGGCAGCAAAGTGTTGTGGTTAATGATCAAAGCTGCAGCCCTCACAAGGAAAACATTCTCACAGTCCTTTTTCTTTCTTCTCCCTCTCCTTGCCTTGCACCCCTGTGTGCACACAGGCATCCTGAACCCACGTGTCTAGCTATGGAAAAGGTATTTTACTGCAACCTTTCACCTTTCAAATGCAAACCATATAATCCGTTGGCCACTTGTTCAGGATTTGGTTCCTTATTCAAAACATCTTCCATATTGTCCTATAAAACACAGCCATGTGCAGAGACCTTCCAAGCCTCTCACTTGTTAACCATTTATTTGCTGAGAATCAGAATTTGGAGGCATTTCTATGAAAATAGAGGGTCTCTGTCTTAGTGCAACCATTCCCAGAAACACCACCAAGTCTTCCCAGATAGAGTTTTAGGGTTTCTTTGATGAACCCAGTTTGGAATGTCATCATCCTCCATATTATTTTCCCACAAAGCCACTGAAAGTAAGAGATGTTGTTGGTAGCAAAGGAGGTCAGTTTTCCAGAATTTGCCAATTGCCCTATATATAGTTCTGAAGAGAGTTCTCCGTGGATGTGACACTTCCCTGCTTTTCACTTATAAAGGACCATGCGGGACCTGGACCCTAGCAAACAGAGACACTCAATCCAAATCACAACTCCCATGATCCTCTGAAACAGATCAGAAGCATCTCCTGTCCTGAGTCCTGTATCTAGATCACTTCTCTCTTAGCCAGCTCTCTCCCTCTACCATACTAGTCCTGGTCTTCCCCCTTCATTCATCTCTTGCCTCCTAATTCTTGGATTTAAAGCCAAGTACTCAAATATTTTGAAAATGAGTCATGATTCACTGATTTGATTGAAATCTCAAGAGATTGATTATGCCACAACTTGTTTTAAATAAGAACTACATAATAAACAAATAAATAAATAAATAAATACGTGTAAGCCATCCAAGAGACAAAGACATTGTATTGGTCTTTAATGACTCTGAAGGAAAGCTATTTAACAAACTCACTCACAACACAGTTTGATAAACAATAATTCACCTAACTAAAAGTTATTCTTGAAATCTTACCCAGTCCTCCTCTTGTTGCCCTCCCTCATCCACAGAGCAAGCCATCAGCTATATGATTGAATTCTCCTCCACCTCTCCAAAATAAATCATCTCAACTCATTTAGCATTCCATAAACCGAATCATTCAATATGTTAATCACTTTCAATGTTTAACTGACTTCATTTTAGACTTAACATCCATTTGATTTCTGCAACCCTTGCAGACAGTATACAAGCTCACTCTTTCCAGAGACAAGGGAGGATTCCACTCTAACCCGTTACTAAGTCCTGATTTCTAAGCACTAGTGACTACTTCCCGCCTGGTGCTCTGCTATGGGTTATCAGCATATCTGCCATCCTTGTTCCCTGTTTAGTGCATAGTACAGTGCACTGTTAAAATGCTTCACCTGGGGCGCCTGGGTGGCGCAGTCGGTTAAGCGTCCGACTTCAGCCAGGTCACGATCTCGCGGTCCATGAGTTCGAGCCCCGCGTCGGGCTCTGGGCTGATGGCTCAGAGCCTGGAGCCTGTTTCCGATTCTGTGTCTCCCTCTCTCTCTGCCCCTCCCCCATTCATGCTCTGTCTCTCTCTGTCCCAAAAATAAATAAACGTTGAAAAAAAAATTTAAAAAAAAATAAATAAAATAAATAAATAAATAAATAAATGCTTCACCTAATGAGTTTAAAGAACTGTCTTGGAATGCTGGTGATGTCCACAGTTCCACACCCCAGAGTCATCATTACCTGTATCTTTTATTGTCCACAGGCACAATGTCCATTGCTATGTAGTATTGCTGGTGTGGGTCCAGGCCAGTGATTTTTACTCTCATGGCAGGAAACATCCTCCTATGAAGGGGAATAGACAGTAAGCTCAATAATCAGAGCGGGAGAAGTAGCAGGAATAAAAGCTTAGACAGTCTCTTCTTATTTCGAACTCTAAGCACACCAAAGTCCAATTCTTCTAATCCTCAAAGTTGGCTGCTTTTTCACACTTTGGAAATCATTGCTATAAAATATGCTGAGGATTCACTGCTGAAATAGTACATCTTCTTAACTTAAATTGAACTATTTGATGATTCATACACTCCAAATGCTCATACCTACCTTGATTTATATTATTAGTTCATCTTTAAAGTGATTAGACAGAAAGATACATAAATAGATAGATAGATAGATAGATAGATAGATAGATAGACAGACAGACAATGTGTGTGCATCCACACATGTATTTCTTATTAGACTATAACATCCTTGAAAATACACTCTTACACTTAATGTACTTGAATAACTTACGCTCTTACTAGTCAAGTAGCTTATCACAGTTGATTGTAGGTGATCGTGAAATCGTTTTTGATTGACTGAGTCTATTTAAAAGTAATCTTTGAGAAAATAAGTAAAATAGAAGAGGCTACCAATCCCTAAACAAAGGGCCAACAAAGTTGGGGGTTTTTTTAAGGCATAAAACTGTAGAAAAATTTCTGCAAGTTCTCAGGCTGTCAACATGTGTGTCAGAGGGAGGACCCTGTGGAATAGGGAGCAAATACCAAATGAATTCTAGTGGCCTCTGGGCAATACCTTGTTTCTACCACAATGGCTTGTTAAACTTGCCAAAGCAAGCAAGGTCAGGATATGGCACTTTACAACTACTCTCATAATTGAAGAGGAGGAGAGGGAGCAACCCAGAAGAGTATTGAGTTTCAAGGGGTCTAGAATAAAATTCTCCATTCTTCTTTAACCATAAGAAAGAAGGAAAACATCAAGCTCTTTTGTATGTCATTCATTTAGGAGTCAGACATAAAAAGTGCTCAGTTCAAAACTTTGCATTGCCTGACTGTGCTCTAGGATACTTGTACACAAAATGCTGCACTAAGCTTAACCATCTGGGGCCAGTTAGTTTAGCTGGGCAGAGCACGGTGCTAATGAGGTCAAGGTCACAGGCTTGATCCACATACAGCCTAATTGGCTTTGCTCCATTTCATGGCCATAGACCATACCCTGACCCCAGACAGCCATCTTGCATATGTGCCCTAGTTGTTTACATGAGGGGCCTTCTGTGCTAGTCACACACTGCACTGCCCACCAGAAGCAACTCAAAAAGCAAATGTTCTCTGGTAATAGGTCAGTGACATCATAATCATATTTGAGGACAAGGGGGACCATAGACCTTCAATAGGGATGATGGCTAATTTGTAAATAGTTGCAAAGAATAATGTATAACCATTCCTTCTTTCCTACTTTATAACTTTTCAGAAGCTTCTATTGGTATATCATCCTAGATTTTCTCCCTCTAGCTCACAAGTTTAATTAGAAAGCCTTATATTTTAGTCTTACAGTCAGCTAATGAAATTCAATGGTGAACTTCTCATAATAACTAAATCCAAGATTCACTATAGGTTAGGCACTTTGATACACATTAATTCTTTTCCAAAATTTGGGAACCTTGATCTATACATTTAAATTTATTTTTTTAACATTTATTTATTATTGAGAGACAAAAAGAGACAGAGCATGAGCATGGGAGGGACAGAGAAGGGGGGAGACACAGAATCTGAAGCAGGCTTCAGGCTCTGAGCTGTCAACACAGAGTCCGACGTGGGGCTCGAACCCAGGGACTGCAAGATCATGACCTGAACCGAAGTCGGACACCCAACTGACTGAGCCTCCCGGGTGCCCTGATACATTTCAATCTAAACCATTAATTCCCTTCTTAATAACAATGACTTATGGCTGCCTTGTATTTATAAATGGTTGGAGAGTACCTTGCCAGGGATGGAAAAAAAAAGTCCTCTCACTTGTTATCTGAGGTAAGAAAATGTGGTTCCTCTAAGTCATCTAGAGAGGCTTACGTTGCAAAAGATGAATGTTTTTCTTCATGACTTCAAGAAAAAGGGTTAGATGGTCTTAAATTCAATACCTGTTTTGTCTGGAACATTTATATGACCTTGAGTGGAGAAGCTACCCATCCTTTACCAATAAATACTCAAGTTCTAAAATGAATGAATTTGGAGAAGTTATTTAACCTTATTACCTATAAAACAAAGAAAAGGGACTATCTAGTCTCTAAGGTATCCTCTTGGTTTAAAATTCTATGACAACATGTGAATTCTCTTCCTAAAAACGTACCAAAAGTTGCTTTTTCTTTTGCCGGTATTTTAGCACAGAATATCAAGTGAAGTCATAACACCCTAGGGAAAAATTAATCTTTCATGTTCAGAAAATGAGATGTGTTTGGTTTTAATTTTATGGGTACGTTTAGGCCAATTCTTGTGTCTTCCAAACCCATTAATCCCTACAAGAACCTCTGTCCATGGTGCTGATTATACAGATTCCATTGGTACATTCAAAGATTGAGGGCTCTGTAGACTGCAGTAGCTCTGAATCAACAGGATTACAGTTTAAGGTGTCAGAAGAAGTAGATGGTGACTAAGATCTTCTGAGTATGAAAAAGAACAGAGAGTCATACAAAACGAATGTAACTAAGAAAATGGAAACTGAGATTAACATTGAAAGGGACACTACAAAGGAAGGAAAATGGAGTGAAAAGGAAGAAACTGACTTGAGGAAAGGGGACAAAGTGAAGAAAATTCACAGAGAGAAAGCTAGAGAGAAAGCTTAATTTGTCTGTTTCCGAGTTGTTCTAGAATTACCTGAGCAGGGTTACATGTAGCAATAGCAAAGGCTGAGGCAACCCACTACAGAAGCAATGAATAACATTTCTAAACCTAAGCAAAGGGATATGACTAAAGAACAAACTGTATATGTATGTACTGGGAATATCTGGGTGCATCCAGGTATCAAGTGAATTTGTGAAGGCAGAGATGTGGGAAAGAAAACACTGCAGTACAAATCATGAAATGAGGTCACAGGAGAGCTGTGAAAAAGGTGTCGGGGTAAACTGAATTCACTGAAGTGCAAAAAACAAGGGAATGATATCAGAGACAAAAATGACTGGAAGACACATACTCAACAGTAGTAAGTGAAAACCTCAAATAAAACTGGAAAATCTTTTAAACAAACAAAAAAATGTAATATTTTCCCTTCTATCCAAACCAACCCCCTTGCCAAAAACTAAGAAGAATAAAGGGGCACCTGGGTGGTTCAGTTGGTTAAGGGTCTGAGTCTTGATTTCGGCTCAGGTCATGATCTCACAATTTGTGAGTTTGAGCCCCTCATCATTGCAGAGCCTGCTTGGGATTGTCTCTCTCTCTCTCTCTCTCTCTCTCTCTCTGCCCCTCCCCCACTTGCACATTTTCTCTCTCTGTATCTCTCTCTCTATTGCTATCTCCCTTTCAAAATAAACTTTTTTTAAAAAAAGAAGAATAAAAACTTTTTCCTTAAATTGCTCTGTTTCCTTCTAAGCCATAACATCTCAAAATGTAGAACAGAAGTAGACTGAAAGCCAACTGACAAGAGATGGTATTGAAAATAATTTCCCTTCATAGGTGTTCTCCTAAAGTGCTTTTTAATGGTTTTGCTCACTACTAAAACTTAGAGAAGGAAGAACCTTCTTTTTTAATTTTTTTTTTTAACGCTTATTCATTTTTGAGAGACAGAGAGAGACAGAGCATGGCGGGGACGGGGCAGAGAGGGGGAGACACAGAATCTGAAACAGGCTCCAGGCTCTGAGCAGTCAGCACAGAGCCCGATGCAGGGCTCAAACTCACAGACCGTGAGATCATGACCTGAGCCGAAGTCGGACACTCAACCGACTGAGCCACCCAGGCGCCCCAAGAAGGAAGAAGCTTCTAAAGGAGAAAAAAAATGAACAAGACTTAAGGTTCAGTTTGACTTCATGTTTTTGTGGTGTCTTGTTGAATTGGAAGGTTTCTCTATATGCATTCAAATATGCTTTTACTTTAAATGTCGATGTTCGCATGACAGCTTATGATCAGCTGGGTGACTCTTTCTGGTCCCCAGGATGTGAGACTATGTAGACTGGCTTTGAAAATATGAAAGCCCTTTTACTACCCTTTACTACCCGTGTGACCTTAGTCAAGTTAATTAACTTCTTTAAGCCTTTTAATCCCCATCCATGTATGGGATTATAATGTGTCTAAATAACATAATACACGTTGAGTATCCAGCACAAAACAGATACCTAACTGTGAAAAACTGAAAGATGCCAACGAAGGAATAAGCTTAATAAAAAGTGCTTATTTTAAGAGAAACTGTATTTTAAAAACTTATATCATTCGGGGCGCCTGGGTGGCTCAGTTGGTTGAGCGTCTGACTTTGGCTCAGGTCACAATCTCATGGTTCGTGAGTTCGAGCCCCGCATCGGGCTCTCTGCTCATGGCTCAGAGCCTGGAGCATGTTCCGGATTCTGTGTCTCTCTCTCTCTGCCCCTCCTCAGCTCATGCTATGTCTCTCTCTCTCTCAAAAAATAAACATTAAAAAAATAATAAAGAATTGTATAAAAACATCTATCATTCTACACAAATAGTTTTGCAAAAGTTTCCACGGGGTCACCATTAAAGTTCTGTAATAATTTCAAGCCAACAATAAAACACATGGATCAATAAGCAGGGCTCAGACGTGTACCAAGCCCAGTTCTTACCAAAAAAATCTTACAAAAACATCTGGCTGTTTTAAATGCCTTAGAAAATGCAAGCTGTTGTTTGGGGAGCAAACTTTTTCTCTTGAAAACATTGGATGGTGACATAATACTTGCTTTGGAAATCTACCGTTTGGCCCTTATGTACCACGGATCTCTGGTGTGAGCTGAAATACATTTGTAGGCAGAAAATGTTTGTGAGCCTAGGGGTGATTCAGAGGTTGGAATGGCCCTCGGAGGAAAAGAGCAAAATCACAGTAAACACAAGATCACTTTACCAAGATGTCCACATGCAGAAAAGTGAGTACAAGTTGCTTTGGCTTCACCAATGCTACCTACCACAAATAACGGGAAAGAAAAATGTAATGGCTCCTAGTTTTTTTCTCCATTCCTGGAAGCTGGTCGTGCAAAGGAATCTGTCCTTACCTGCCTGCTTTGGTGATGATCATCTCAGTTCCAATGTCATGGAACCGCTTCCATAGGTCAGCACATTGCAGCTCCACCTGAATCTCTTCCATGGAAGACATGGCGGCAGGCACAGGGCCTGCAGCACCAGGGCCCAGGTCAGTGTGAGTGTCAAAGGAGCAGGAAGTCCGCTCAGTGAGCACCTCAGAGTCTGAACCGGTGCTCTGCTCGGAATCTGCAAAATAAACAAGCAAGTCTTAGGTGAGAAACTTCAGAGCTACTCCCCGCCCATCACCCTAAAAGATGGGAGGTTGGATGGGGGGCATGGGGGGGGGGGGCTGAACAAATGAGACTTAAAGCTGGGAAGCTCCAGAGCACAGCACTCGGCGTATTTTATTTTATTTTTTTATGGTTTGTTTTTGTGATTTACGACCATCTTTTAGGTTTCGTGTTTCCAACATGACATCTGGCATTTTAGTAAGTTTTAGCAACAGCTGAAGAAAACTAGTCCACAACAGGCAATGTAAAGAGTACCAATGACAGCATGGTGAAGGCATTGAAGCCAAACTGGGACAACGTAATACATACATGCCAAATTAAAAAAATAATAATAAATAATAATAATAATAATAATTAGAGACCACACAGCTCCAAATCTAGACAATTTCACTTGGAGGGGGGTGTTCAATGCCAACAGTAACGTGTTCTTTAATTTCATACCACTCGGCATCATTGCCCACCAGTCAGTTATTTTTAAACACAGCATTTTTTCCTCTTATTTATATATCTTGGTCATCAAAAGTAAAAGTTTTTTGAGGCTTTTAGAAGCACTTGGTCATATATTTGAGTAAATGGTTTTTCCTAAGAGTCCAATCAGGCCATTTTGGATGAAAAATGGAAAAAAAAAAAAAAAAAAGTCTGTTGTAAGGCAAGGATATAAGCATATGGAAAAAGTTACCCAAGAAGGCGGTGGAAACAAAGGGAATAAATGAGTTCAGGAGACACCTTGATTGGTTTCTGAAGTATGAGCAGAGGGGAGGGGTGATCCAAACAGGAAGGTAGGATTGAGAGCAACCAAATAAAAAGCTGGCATGCTGTGCCAGATGGTCTTTTCTTCCTGTGTCTTCTGTACTCAACGAAGGGGCGGGGGGCGGGCGGGAGGGGGTGGGGGGGCATGAAGACTGATGGAGAAGGCTGGAGTCAGATTTACCAGGGAATTTCCTACAATTTTTAAAGCTTTAAAGGCCCAATGCCAAGAAGCTTGTCTCCTAAGACTTTCCAAACTCAGATGGTGCAATCTCCTTAGGTCAAATACTGCAAGCTAAGCCTGGGAACCTCTTTCTCCAACCCACCCTTACCATCTAGGATTCTGACTGCTTCCCCTGTAAATAAATACATACATGAGTAGAGGCCGGAAACAGCAGTGTCTCAGGCTGACAACTGACTGTTCATTGATGTCAAAGGTCAAGGCCTCCTGGGCATCAGTCCTCAACGTGAGCAGGATGAAGAAAGACAGGACAGAAAGTCGGACCATCTTGTGGCCATCCTCACTTACCCGTAGCAGGTTTCTAGGCCTGTGAAAACCCCTCCCACGAGACCTTCCCTTTTCTTTCCTTCTACCCCTGGTGTGTTCCTCTCTCACACCCAGGCACCACTCCTGGCAAGAGTCTCCCACAGCACTGCTGGCACCCACAGGGAGCAAAGTGCCATTTCTCTCCATCCTCCTCAGTTCATCACCCTTCACTTCTGAAGACATTCAGGGAACTGCAGAACTGAACCAAGCTCTGGCCACAGGAAAGTCTGCCCCAAAACTAGTTTACCTCTCATCACTCACTAGCAAAGTCACCATCTTCACGAGAAGAGAAAAAAAAAAAAGTTTTATATCTAGGTTTTGTGTGCCTAAGCACATAATGTTATACTTGGAGCCACACAGGGGCTAATTTTGGTCCCCTTCAAGCACAGAAAAGTGGAGCTTCTTGTCTAAGATGAGAGCCGCTGCTGAGTGACAAATCTCTGTCCCAGCCTCCTTCTATATGCCTTTCTGCTGCAGAGCCGTGGCATGGTCTCACACACGTGGCCACACACAGTAATTCAGATCCCCTGAGTCACGGATTCCCACATCCCACTGTTTCTGTGATAAGCCAAGAGCTCCTCACTTATCACAAGTCTTGTGAACTTTAAAATTTTTTTTTTCAACGTTTATTTATTTTTGGGACAGAGAGAGACAGAGCATGAACGGGCAAGGGGCAGAGAGAGAGGGAGACACAGACTCGGAAACAGGCTCCAGGCTCTGAGCCATCAGCCCAGAGCCCGACGTGGGGCTCGAACTCACGGACCGCGAGATCGTGACCTGGCTGAAGTCGGACGCTTAACCGACTGCGCCACCCAGGCGCCCCAAGTCTTGTGAACTTTAAAAAAACTTCTCAAAGCAAGAATTAAAAAACAACAAAAAAAAGTCTTGTCCTACCTTTGGGAACAAAGTGGTATGAAATCCCCCTTACCACCATGTGCAAAAATTGTGAAAAGGTGGGGAGGTTTTGGACGTGTGATTTCTCTAATGAGTGTTTAGGAAAAGGGAGGGGAGGGAAAAAGATCACTGCATTAAACGGTAACTTTTTAACGATGACAATGGGGTCTGGGATTGGAATGGGGACTATGGCTGGAGAATTAGGAAACCAGAGTTTCTGCTCTTATCTCCCTATGTCATCTGGAATAAAATGGGAGCTCAAAGTGTAACATTAAACTAATGAGTCACCTTGAACAAGTCACTTAACTACAATGGACCTATTTCCTTATCATGTATTTAGAAGGACTGAGTTGAAAATTTCATAATCTCTTCAACCTCTAATGACTTAAAGGATGTCAGAATCTCTTCTAATGTAACTTTCAATGATAACTCAGGCAACCTCAATTAGAAGCATAAAATGAAAACTGCTTGGGCAAGACAAGTGAAACCAGGAAAAAGGCTAGGGGCTCAGATTATCACAGAAGTTAAAAAATTCAGTGGGTACTCTGTTTATAGTTTCAATCAAATCAATCAATAAGCACCTATCAGCATGTGGCCCTATATGAGGTACCATGTAGATAATTTGAAACAGAATCCCAGACCTTGAGAAGTTTCCCAGTTAGTGTTGATTAATTATGTGTTTATTGGGTGCTGACTATGTGCCTGGCACTGTGCTAGATTCTGGAAAATACCAAAGTACGGAGTGGGGCTCCTCCTAAAGGTATTTACAGTACAAGTGGAAACTGAGTGCATTCACAAACAGAGACCAAGAGACCAAGAGACCAAGGTAGTATTTACTACCATGCAGTTTTCCACACCGTTACGTACTGCCTTGATGTCTCCTAGGAATCCAGAAAAGAGAGGGATTTGCTAGGGCTAGAACAGCCCTGGGAAACTCATGCTTGCTAGAAAAGAAATGGACAAGATGTGGAGGCATAGGCAGTATATGCCCATGAGGAGCATTTTCAGATACATTTATTTGTTTCCTGGAAATACTCTGTGTTCCTGAATTCTCACTCCCTCACAAAGTGACTTTTATATACAGAATGGAGGCACCAGCTCACATTTTCAATAACATAAATTAAGCTACCTTATAATACTCTTAAAATAGGAAACTCAGAGTCAAGATCAACACCTACGTAAAAATAAAATGTAATCCTTTGGAAAATACATTGCTAAATCATAGCTATATAAAATCTTTAGGCTAACCAGATCAGTTATTTTAGCTATTAATCAGAATGTATACTCAAGTTAACTAAATCATGATTATAAGAAATGCAGAACAGGTTATTTCAGTCAAATAGGGTCATGTATTCAAAAATACAATCAGAAAACACCTCTTTGTTTTCAAGCTTTTTTTTTTTTTTTTTAATACTTGGCAATTTGTGACTTCCTGCCTTCAAAAAATAACCATTAGGAATGCGTTTGCATGACCTGGAAAGACTTCTTGGCCGTCAGATGTTTGTTGTGGATAGTATTTTAACAAGGGAAGTTTCAGCCAATCAGGAACATAAATGATAATGTTATACCTGACTAAGGAAGTTAAAACAGTCTTTGGGAAATTTCATGGAGCCAGTTACAAGTCACTGGAGAACATCATCTGATTCATATAGTCAAACTAACATTATCTATTATCATCCAAAAAAATTCCCTGAAAAAGAGATTCTAACCATCAGCTCATAGTGTCACTCGCTTTCTCTCTCTGACCTGTTTCATGTTGATAAAATGGACATTGCAACACCAAGTTCTCATAGCAAGTTGAGTTTAAGGAAACAAATCGCAAGAGGCTCTTGATAGAGGATGAACTGTGGGTTGAAAGAAGGTGGGTGGGAGATGGGCTAGATGGGTGATAGGTACTAAGGAGAGCACTTGTTGAATCACAGAATTCAACTCCTGAAACCAATACTGCACTGTATGTTAACTAACTAAAATTTAAATTAAATAGATAAATAAATAAATAAATAAATAAATAAAAATAAAAGTTTTCAGAAAAGAAAGAAAGAAAGAAAAAAGAAAATTGAGTTTAGCTTACAGCAAGTTCAATTCTCAATTCATGCAAAATAATAGCAATAATAAAAGTTTCTTAATTTACATTTTACACATTATTTAATACATCCTTCCATTTGATGAGGTAGAAATGGCTTATTCTTATGCCCATTATATAGATGGGGGAATTGAGACTAAGAAAAATTAAAATGAACATAGCGTAGAAAGGAGGTCTTCTGCCTTCTGATCCAATGACCAGGTCTCTCCCAAGATATTAGGTTCAACCCTGGCCAAAACAGCCAGCGATTCTGTAACAACCCTCAACTATTGTAACCATCCTTACAAATGAAATGGCTTAATATGTTTGATCCTAGCAAGTCACATGACTATTCTGACCCTCATATTCCTTGTTTTAGCACAGCACATGCACATTTAATTAGAGGTGCTACAAAGTCCCTTTTAAGTCTAATGAATCATGGATGGATTAGTAGTGCAGCTTAAAGACCACCAGGTCAAACAACAGCAACTCAACCATGATAAGTTGAGTTGATTGACATATGTAGAAAATGCCTCACTCATGTGCATTTGACTTAATATCAAAACCAGACATTATTAAAACATATTTCACAATCTTCCAGGTGATTTTCATCTCCACTTAACTAATAATTTGGGGGAACAATTCATTAGTACAGTGACCAGAGCACATTTATTCCTGGGGCTCCACTACTTACCATGAGTGGGGT